AGTACGGTATAGAAGATGCTGGCAGCAGTGCCCCTCAGCACTGGAATTGGTGCACCTGTGATATAAATGTGAAAATCCTACATCAGCTCATTGTTGAGTTATCACATTCACATACTTTGATGTCCACACCGTCTGCTACAGCCACAGATTACACATCTCCATGCTGCAGCTACGTGTGTCTATGTCAAACACTCAACCACTGTTCATTCCAACTTTCTCCTCAGGGAGTATGTATCGTCTAAGACCATCAACAAGGTGATTCAGGTTCACGACCGGATCTTCTGCTGCATAGCTGGTTCACTTGCAGATGCTCAGGCCATCACCAAGGCTGCAAAGTTCCACCTGTCCTTCCACAGGTATGCGCACAGCACAGGTTTAAATTACTTTGCTCACCAGTTTAAGTCCCATGAGGTTTGTGAGATCACAATAATAAGATAATGAATCCACCTTCCAAAACTTCAGACTTGTAGTGGACTGGTGCAAACACAAATGTTTGTACCAGTCAGCCTCTACAGGCATGACCAAAGTTGTTCTTGTCCCCAGTTGGGCCAGAGTTGTTAGTGTAAGCGCTGCAGTAGCTTCAGTTAGACCTGAATTGGAAAGTATTTCTTTATTTGAAGAAGAGAAAAAAACTACAATAATGGATTTCCTCAGTATAATAGACGCTGTTTTTAGGCTCATTTCCCAGCATGCTTTGGGAACAGTTTAATTTATGAGAGGGCTCCGTTGAGCTAACTATACCTGGTGATTGATATTGAGCCCACATTTCTTTATATTTTGCTGGAAAATGTTCTTGAATTATTCAAACATTTTTCTGAACATCACATTATTGTAAACACTACATTCAATAATGTTAAAATAACATTTGGTTGTGTCTGCTTGTTCTCACTCTTCTGAAGTGTCCAGATGGAGAGCCCTCCACGGGTGATGGCAGCAGCATCTGTGTTGAGGGACTTGTGCTACAAAAACAGAGAGGAGCTGCAGGCCGGCTTCATGACAGCAGGCTGGGACAAGAAGAACGGACCACAGGTAGGAGATCTCTGTGAAGACTGTCAGACATCTCAGAAGAGCTGATGATGATGACTGTAAACTGACCTAGCTGCTGCACTACGATCTTCTCCATCTCTTTCCAGGTGTACGTTGTGGCTCTTGGTGGGATGTTGATTAATCAGCTTGTTACCATCGCCGGCTCAGGCAGCACTTATATCTATGGCTACATTGATGCTAAATACAAACCCAACATGACGAAAGAGGAATGCCTGCAGTTTGCCACTAACGGTACAGTTTTTTCACCATGTTCACATCAAGATGTTAAAATGTTTTGCAGGGAAATTGTTGATTGCATGAAGAGGAAAAATATGAATGACAGTACAGGAGAAAATAAGGATTGTGCTGGGAAAATGGTTGGTAGGATTGTGATGAATTTAACATAACTAAAAACTATTTTAGAGCTTTTAACCACATCTTACACTCTTAAGCAGGAGATTTAGCTTAAAGACATGATCCTAAATTATGAATAAACTGGTACTCATCAGGTGTTTTCTGCTCTAAATGTGCAAAGGAATTAATACATGCCACACACATTAGACTGAATCATAAGCTTTGTGTCAAAATGCAGTTGTAAAGGAGACTTTACATATAACTTTATATGTCATATGTAGTCTTTATATTTTATGCAAAAATTACTTTTTCAAGGTTTCTGTATTGAATTATGAGGAAATAGATCAAACATCCAGAGTATCAGTTCTTCTTTCTGTTACTCTTTATCACAGGTATTAAATTGGCATTAAAGTTTTTCTATATAAACTATGATATATAACATGAGACTGAAATTCAAATTTGGGTGTAAAATTGATTTGGTTGCTCCTGTAGTTATCAAATTGTTTTTTTTAAAGGCACAAAAATTCAACCCACTCCTGTGAAGTTGGAGGGTCTGTAACTCAAAAAATATCTAATATAAATATATAAATCTTATATATAAACTCACGTTATTGTAAAAAAATAAAAACTCAGCTGGTTCTCAGTGGGAGGCTTTCACTGGTGTTTCGATGTTATATAAAAATCACAGTTGTTAATGTTAGAAGTTGTATATATGCTGGAAACTGATGACCTCTTACTGTTCAACTCAACTAATATTTTTATTCCCGCCTTTCTTCCTCTCCTGCCCTGTTTTTGCTTCATCCTTCTCCCTGCTCACAGCTCTTGCCCTGGCCATGGGCAGAGACAACGCCAGCGGGGGTGTCGCTCACCTGGTGGTGGTAACAGAAAAGGGGGTGGAGCATGTGGTTGTACCTGGTGACAAGCTACCCAAGTTCCACGATGAGTGACCGCCTTCGTTCCTCCTACCATGAAACTACCAATGAAATCAAAGAGCGGTTATTTGGAAGCTGGACTCGTATTACCTGTTTTGTCTGTTTAGGGTGTAACAAGTTAAACACTCAACTGAAGTCAGACTCCTGAAAAACAAGTTATTTTCTACTCAGTGAAGGCGTGAAAATCTAGAAACACAGCTGGAAAAACAACTGTTTAATCTTTATTACTGAATTGCAAGCAGAGTCAGAGATACTTATACAGAAATCAACTTTCCACCCTTTTATGTGACCTTTTATGTAAAAAAAAAAAAAAAAAGAATAAAATATTTCCATTTCCATAATCATTTCTTTTTGTCTTTTCTTGCAATTGTTGCTGTTGTGATGCTCTTTAAATATTGTATCTGTGTAATTTTAAGTGATAATAGGATTAATAGTAACTTTATTTGTATAGTCCTTTTTAAAACAGAGTTACAGGGCTTCACAGTTTGAGTTAAAGCCACACATTGAATTAGACATGCTCAAACATACACATAAAAAGACACTTAATCAGCCAGAGGTTCACACATTTATTCCAGCATACACACAGAAAGATGTAAACTATTGCCCCAAATAAAGGAGAAAAGATTAAGGGAAAGAAAACCTATAAAAATTTGTTTTCACCAGTCATTTAAAACAAGAATAGTCTGAAGGATTGCAGTTTGACATGAGGTATGGAGGACTGAGAGATGCATGTGAAAAGTGAACTGTAGTAGAAGAAGAAAGGCAAAGGAAAATTAAAGTGTGTTTAAAAGTCCAAGATGATTGAATTACAGCAAAGGTTTGATTTTGAAAATATTTCTGAGGTGAGGAAAATAAGTCTGAATGAGCCTTGAGTGTATATGAAATTCAAAATCCAGATGTTGGTGATGATTTGATGTTACTGGTGAGGGACCAATGTACTGACCAACCTCCTTAGAGAAACTGTCTGGGCCTTAACAGAAAAGTGCAACTTTTCCAACAACATTTTAACCAACAGGAAGAGAGAGTTCAAATAAAATAAAGGAGAAAATTAATAAAAATAATAATAATTGAGTGTATAATAGTAATGTATGTACATCATATATGAATAGTGTTAGGGGAACACATAGATATAGTTATACATACTCTCCCATGTAGATCATTCAGATATTATTACAGG